GAACGCGTGTATAGTTTTGAGAGCCCATTACTCCAAGTTAATAAATTCTTGATCCGCATGGAAAAAGTTGAAGATATTTCATTGTGCTGAACGTTAATGGGTTGAAATTTTAACTCTTTTTTTTACTCGCTTCTCAAATGATTCTTTATAAATTTTAAATTAATGAATGAAATTAATGAGTTCAATTCATATTAAAGAATCAGAGTTAGTGGGTTAAAATGCTCTTTGTTTAATTTTTAGCGATACTTAATGAAAATAATGTTAATTTTAATAATATAGATATGTAAGTATTGAATCGTTCATTAAGTAATTTCGTTTGATGACAACAGCTGATCTTATTGAATTTTTTCGCAGCCGACTTCACGCCTAACCGCTATACCGTTAAATATTTCGACAGCTGATGTAATAGTAAGGCTTGTTTGTAAAAAATTGTACTAAAATTTTTGGAACAGTTTTTAGTTTTTGTTTGGTGCCCTATCGAAGATGGAAGATCGAAAACAGCATTTTTGGCATATTTTACTGTTTTACTATCAGAAGGGTAAAAGTGCGGTTCAAGCAAGGCGAAAATTATGTGATGTGTACGGAGAAGATGTGTTAACCGAACGCCAATGCCAAAATTGGTTTGCAAAATTTCTTTACGGCAATTTCAGTCTGGAGGATGCACCACGTCCTGGAAGGCCTTTTGAAGCCGATGTTGATAAAATAAAGTCGTTGGTCGATGTAAATTATTGCTAAAAGATTAAATTGGTTTAATTTCATATTGTGTAAAACAATAAAAAAAATCGTGTTTAAATTACAACAGCGAAATTACTTACACGTCTCAATATATTAATATCGCAATTATTACCAGGGCTACGGAAATCGATGAGGTTCGGTTCAGAAAATACTTATACCGGTTCAAGAACCGTTTTAGGCGTATGTCTGAACCGCTGTGCGGTTCGGTTCAAATGGCTCAGGTTTTTATACTAATTGAGATCAAATTCTTGTAAAGTATTTTTCAAAACTTTTTAGCGTTAATTACAAAACCTTGTACAGAAGACACACAGAAAAATGTAGACTTTCAATGAAAGAAAATTTTAATGTAGAGTGCTTCTAGAATTTCTTCTTCGAAATTTTTGTATGCGTCTCGCCAAATTTGTATGTTTTCCTTTCATATGCAATGTATTTACTCATTTTTGTAATAATTTTGTTCAAAATAAAAGCTTTTGTGTACTGGATTCGCACTAATTTCAAAAATATTTACAAAAAAATAATCACTTTTAAAGTATGCCAACCTTCTGAGAACACAAACGCGATTATTTGAAATTACAGTGAAAAATGACATCTCATAGCGTTGCATTGAAGAAAATTTGTGGCAGCTTATCATAAGGATTTCATTTTTTAACACTAGAACTACGAACCGGTCAAAATTACCGGTTGCATACTTTATTTATACTATTTCCTCTTTATTTGTATATAATATTTTACGATAATGTCATGATTTTTATTAAATTTTTGTATAGAATAATATTATAGATTCTTTACTTTTCACGCTTCTAATTATTAGGGAGAGAGAGACCTATTTGAAATAGGTATATGGTAAATCTTCGTAGTTCTAGTGTGAAGCACGTCGTGTATTATTTAACGTAAGAATGCTTATTGGGGATTTTTATTTTGAACCAAATCGAACCATTTTTTTTGAGTCGTTGTTGGTTCGGTTTTTGCATTTTAAAATAAATGCGATTTGGTTCGGTTCAAAGCTAATAAAAAGAGACGGTTCATTTCGAAAACCGGTTTGCAGCTCTGATTATTGCTCCTTTAACATTTTTTACTAAGCTTTTATTACTTACTTCTTCTTACTAAAATTTGCGTAATTAACATATTCCAACTGTTGCTTGTACTTACCGCTACGTCAGTCAGTTATTCCTTTGCATTTAATGCTTTTTGCGTAACTTAAGTTGCAAGTTTACATAAAGATGCTTAAGCATGCCCTGGAATGAAAAGTTTTACGATTACCCTGTAGGAAAAGTGGAACGTAGTTCTAGCAGTTGAAAGAGAGCACTATTTGAGAGACCGAAGACAATTTATAACTGCATTGGGGCCTATTTTAAGGTTATATCGAGCTAATAAGTGCTGTAATTTATAAAAATAAATTCTGCCAAGTTGATTAGCGATTCTTTTGCATAAATCAGGCCTGTTAAAAAAATGTAAACGAGTTGGTGTGTTCTCTTGCAACTCGGTAACATCTCATTTACTGCTTATGCGCTTGTTATACCCTCAACATGGAACCAGAAGGAAACGTCGGATACTCTATAAAGTATATATGTAGAAGCGAACGACGTGAAGAGCTGAGCCGTGAACTAGTCCCTCAGTTTTTGAGGTATCGGTTTAAAGTTTTGCACACCTCCCTTTCTCCCCAAGAAACTTTTCATTTGTCAGAACTGCCGATATCGGACCACTTTATCATATAGTTGCCATACAGATGGATCCAACAAAATCAAGTCTTTGTATGGAAAACTTTTTTATTTGTCAAGATATTTTCACGAAATTTTACATTCATTATTGTTCGAGGCAGCGCCACAAGCTCCGAACAAATTGTTCAGATCGGATTACGAAAGCATTTAGCAGGTATAAAAACTGACTAATCAAAATCTCAGTAAATATCTTTTTATACCCTATTATGCTATAAGAAATGCACCTGTGAAGAGTATTGTAGTGAAGTTAACGTTTTTTCTTGCTTTTAATATTTTTATAACGGCATTAGCAGCATTGCTCACAGCTCAACTTCTTAAGGTTCCACAATTATAAAAGCCTTACTCCATTTGTTATTCTACCCTTTCATGACTCGGCAAATACTGCTCGTATGCGAATTGCGCCCCACACGAGCTGCTATTTTGTTTATGAATGAATTTTTACGACTTCGGGTGTCAATTGCTGTTTTTCTTATTTGAAAAACAAAAAAAAAAAAAATTAAAAAGCCTACTTCTCTTGTTTCACATGTGTGACTGTGTGTGTGCGTTTGCATTTCTCACAAAAGACTTGGCAAGTCAATAGCCAAGTATTAAACAAAAGTGGCTGAATGCCATTCCAAGCCAGCAGGCAGCGGTGGAAGTGAAAGGTTGCGTTGCTTTGTTTTGACTTCTATTTGTTGTTGTTGTTGTTGCTGGTTGTTATTGTTGCCATTGTCACTGTTAATTGAAATTTTAGTGGTAAAATAGACGTAAGTGCTTGGCAAAAGCTTGCAAGTTCGTTGAATACACTTACGCCGTTCACAACAACACAAGTTTTCATATTTTCTGCTTTCTTCATATGTTGTTGTAAAATTATTATAAGAAATAAATAAGTCTAGGAACTTTTGCAGTTGGTCGTCGCCGAGAGTTTGTGAACTACTTTCAAATATGTAATTACTGCATGCCAGAGTTGAGCACTGCCGATGAACAGTTATTTGCACTTTGTAATGATGGCATGCATGTATGTATGTAAGTGTGTGAGTTTTATATAATATCTGCTATTTTCGAAATAAAAACTTCTATTATATCAAATAAAACTCGTTGTTGCTAGTATTAAAACTTTTTTGATTAGCGAATGCTTGCCCTATTGACGTATAGTTTATTTGACGAAACAAATTATTAATAACGGTAATGAGAATAATATTAAATAGCGCCTTATATAATTCAGAATTGTTGCCAAAAGTGTTGACTTTATTCGAACTTCGGTTCGAAATACTATACCGTTCATAAATAATGAAAAAAAAAAACAAGTAAGAAAAGGCTAAGTTCGGGTGTAACCAAACATTTCATACTCTTGCAACTTGGTTTTGTCGAAACAGTATATCAAACTAAGGAAAGTATCACCGTGTTTTCAATCATTTAAGCAAAGATCATACACTGTTATTAGAAAAGTATTATTTCTAAATTTCATTAAGATTTCTTACATATTGATTGATAGATGCGGTATAAAATGAAAATGAGATTCTAAAATATTTATGTTAGGTATACGGAGGCTAAGGGAAGTGTAGACCTGCTTTTATCCATTTTTGGCATAAGTAATAATGCGATTTCGGCAATTTTTGCTTTGTTTGCGCAAAGTATTATTCTGATAACTTTATTGATGTGTGATTTGTATACTATAAAGTTAAAGAATCAGATGGAATTTAAAAGTGTGTTATATGGGTATTAGGCGTGGTTGTCGTCCGATTTCACCCATTTCTGTAGTGTCTAATAGGAATGTAATGAACAACCGTACACACCAAATTTGGTTAAAATCGGTTGAGTATTTCACACCAATTTTCACAACAAATCCTAAAAAGGTCTTCTCTACCATCCTGGTTTTGAAATTTAATACTTGTGCCACATTTATTCAGTGAGTTATAGTGCTTTTCAACGTAACCGTTATATGTGGAGTGGGCGTGGTTAAAATCCGATTTAACCCATTTTCACAGAGTTCGAAGAGATGATAAAATCACTTCTTCTCAGCAAGTTAGGTGAATGTATCTAACGCGGTTTGGAAGATGTGTACATGTGTAAGTGTGTGTGAAATCATTCAGGGTACGGAGAAACGCGCACTGAGCAAATTCTTGGTGAGGTTGTATGCTAAATTTAAGATCAATATCTCAAAAACTGAGAGACTAGTTCGCGCATATACAGACGGACGGAAAAACAGACGGACATGGCTAAATCAACTCAGCTCATCATGCTGATTATTTATATATATATATATTATAGGGTCTCCGACGTTTCCTTTTGGATATTATAAACTTCGTTGCAAACTTAATATACCCTGTTCAGGGTATACAAATAATTTTGCGATTTTGTTATGAAAGTTAAGGACTTCTATTTACTTTTGGTTTCAACATTAACTAGAATATTAATACTAACTTAGAGCATATTTTTTTTATATTATTACATATATTTTTTGTGCACTAACATACATACGCTCAATTATTTAATTTATTTCAAAATATTTTTTCTCTAATAATAAATTATGCTAATTGTAACCTCGATTTTTCTTCTTAATTATAGCACCGACGGCACAGAATCTCCCATATTAGCCGAAGCCGATGCTGATGGTCATGACAAACCGCGAGTGCGATATGGCGAACTTGTTATACTGGGGTGAGAACATATTCATAATACTATATACTTTTATATCTATATATATCTATATTACATTTAATCCACTAACTGTGCATTAGAATACATAATTGTCGTTAGATTGGCTCAGGGACGTAAAAACTCAAGCATGCAAATACATATGTATGCATGTAGACTAGATGCGTGGGTATATTAAGGTATTGTAAGAAAAAATTACGATTGTAAGTTACAGTCGTAAAATGTTTATAAATAGTAAATCCTAGTGCTTATATATCATATATATACATAATAAAATGTACATAGCAAGTTCACAAGTTTCGAGAATTCAGGGTTAAACTTTGTACAAAAAGTGGTCAAGAAATATATATATTTTTTTTTTGGGGAAGACATTTCCAAGTCTGATCTGAGCTTAAGATATAACTCAAAAACACGTTTAAAAGGTACTGGAAAGTCACGAATGACATAAAAATTCGGTACCGTCGAGGAAATTAATGAAATTTAAGAGAAAAAGGGTAATTACTATATTGTTTTTGTTGTATCAGCCGTCTAACATTTTGATACCGATTCGATTGTGTTAATCTTCGTGGCCCTCAAAATCTGTGTTATTTTACATTTGAACTCCTTATTTGAGTTAAATTTTTTGTAGCGAGCCACAAGTTATAATAAGCTTTTCATACGGCGTGCTATTGGCTACACCCACACAGATTCTAGTATGCTTGACGTTTAACTCACTAAGAGCTGCATCTCGCTGTTAGTTATGTTCTGATGAGAGCTTAAACATAGCATTCACTTATGGAAAAATAATGCTTTATACCAACTAAATATTACTTATTCACTCAAATGCTAAATGTAGCACACATACAAGTATATACAGTTGTTGGCATATAAATATGTATGATTCGGCGTAGTTTTGTGTTTGGCTCGACATTTGGCATTTGTTTGGCTTGGCCTCTGCCTCTGCCTCTGTTTCCATCCAACTATATTCTATTTAAAAAATTTCTTTAAAAAATACGCATTGTCGGCGCCACACACACACACACACACGTACTTACATAAAATTATTATACAAACCTATTGAAATGAGTGCATTGAGCACACCTCTTTTTCTTGATGGATGTGAGAATTTAGTAGTTAAGCTTTTTCGCCTATTTTTGAGCGCACGAAAGGTCAACTAGCATATACAAACAAACTTTTAGCATTACTTATACATATGCATATTTTGGTAGACAATGTATATACGTACAAACACTAAAGACTGCAACACGCTGCAGTGTCATAAACACTTTGGCGGCTTACACGTTTTCATTTGTTGTTTTAGTTTTTGTAGTTTTAAACTTTAGACTTGAGTGGCAGTGCAGCACATACATACATATGTATATGTGTATATGGTACATTTAAGCTTCAATTCTTTAACATTTAAAATTAGATTGACACAAACATGGTTGTTATTCGCTACAATGTTACCGCAGGCCAGGGTTTGAAATACCTTCACTAACCGAAACATCCAAACTGTGTATTTTAAAAACACCTTGCCCATATTTGCCATAAGTACGCACACATACATACTAGTGTGGGTCCAAAAATCATTATTTTTTCATTCGGAACTTTGGAAAATTGATTGGTAGACACCTAAAAAAATTCTCTCCAAGTATGAGCTCTTACTATTAATAGAAAGATTATCCGCTTTTCAGTTTCCTATTTTTTCCTTATTAAGAAATTGCTTAGTGAAGCACCTTACTATTATTATTATGAACTCATATGTGGTGCCACAATTTTATTGAGGTATCTAACAACAAATTTTTCAGATTTTAAAGTAAAAAAAAAAGGATCGATTTGCTTATACCCACCCTAATGCATACGCACACACTTCTTCAGCATGTAATATTGTAGTTGTTGTAAATGTGTCAAAAAGGACACAAATCTTTGCCGCCGGCACCGCTGACTATAGAAGGATGTTACCAGTTTAGCTGTATTTCCAATTCCATACGCTGAAATCCGTTTGATGACCTCCACCACATCCATAAATTAGACTTACACTTGTTTTTGTGCAACACTCATGACTACATGACTTTTGTTATTCCCGAGATTTATGTGCGTTTGCCTTTTTGATGAAGACGATTCTTGGCGTTTTATTGGTTTTTGTTGTGAATGTAAATTTTGTTGTTGTATTTGTTTAGTTTGCAGCCAGTTTGGCGCCAAAATTAATTTGTTTTTCTCTACATTGCTATATTTATACCCTAAACAAGGTATATTAAGTTTGCCACGAAGTTTCTAACACCCAGAAGAAAATGTCGGAGACTCTATAAAATATATACATAAATAATCAGCATGGTGAGCTGAGTTGATTTAGCCATGTCCGTCTATTTGTCCGTCCGTCTGTATATTCGCGAACTAATCTTTCGATCTGAAATTTAGCATATAACCTTTTCCCACCAAGAAGCTGCTCATTTGTCGGAATGGCCGATATCGGACCACTATAGCATATTGCTGGCAAACAAGCTGAATGATCGGAATCAAATTCTTCCATACAAGAACGTTTCCATTTGACGAGATATCTTCACGATCATTATTTCAGGCAATAATGGAATATCCGAAGAAATTATTTAGATCGAATCACTATAGCATATGACTGTCATACAAGTGGAATGAGCGGAATCAAGTTCTTCTAAGGAACCTTTTGTATTTGTGAAGGGTATTATAGCTTCGGTGCAACCGAAGTTAACGTTTTTTTTTTTGTTTCTCTTGGAGTTCAGAATGGTATTGCAGTTGAGAATAAAAAGTCCATCAATTTGGTTTATGGGCACAGTTTAAATGGACCAGTCCGGGTCAATTTTGATAAATAACATTCACAAATCAATAAATAAAATGATAATGTACCACCTTAATTTTCTGCAACTGACAATTGGATATCTATAAAGCCAAGGGCAATTCGTTCAAGCATTACAGAGATAACAAAAAAAGCTAATTATGTGCCCGAAAAGCAATCCAGCACACTTAATTACTTGTCATTGCTTCTTCTATCGACAATATTGTATCCCTTCTTCGCGAACGCGTTTCGTGCTTCTTTTTTCTTCTAAATAACTAAATAACTTTGATTAGACGTTTGTTTTGCTGCTGCTGCACTCAGTTTGCTCAGATAACTTCCATTGCGTGCTGTTAATTAAGTTCTGTATTTGTCAATGTTTCCATTTCGCGGGTTTTGTTTTCGTTTTGTTTTATTTTATTATTTTGCTATGTACCATATTCCAAGTCACATTGCTGTGTAATTGAATTTGTCCAGCAAATTAAATTAGTTCGCGTATCTGCGTGTGTTTTCGCACTGTTGGCGAGCCTTTAGAATTGGGTCTTAAAATGACGCATTCGACGCATTTGGGGCAGCCGGCAACAGCAAAACCAACGAAAAAGTTACTCACGAAAGACGCAAAGCAATAAAAAACAAGTAAGGAAGGCCTAAGTTCGGATGTAACCGAACATTTTATACTCGCAAAGTCAAATGGTACACTCGTTTGAGATTTCTTTGTGGATTGACTGATATTTCTGTAGAAGGTCAACTATAGGCCTGGGGTCCACATATTTAGTACTTAGGGCTTGAACAGTTCTGTTCGGTTTAGACAATTTTTGGCACAAGGTGGCATACTTTAAACGTATTATTCACGCAAAGTTTTACCCGATATAATCATTGTTGCTTGATATGCATAGTGGAAAGTGAAAGAATCAGATGGAATTGAAAATGGGGTTATATGGGAAATAGGCGTGTGTAGTCGATTTCGCCCATTTTCGCACTATAATAAGAAATATGAAAATAACGTTATGTACCGACTTTTGTGAAATTGGTTAAGCAGATCTCAAGATATGGTTTTACCTAAAGTGGGCTGTGCCACGCCCACTGTCTAATTTGAACGCGGTTCCTATTAAGTCATCTATACCATCCAGAGATAAAATTTAATGTCTCTGCGTGTTTAGTGCTTGATTTATCGCGCTTTTAGTAGTTTTTAACAGTACCGTTATATGGGAGTGGCGGAGTTGCCACCCGATTTCAACTATTTTTACACTGTCAATATAAGTGCTTAAACATTTGCTTCCAGTGATTTTGATATAGCACGATATATAAACCTATTAGAGGCGGGACCACGCCCACTTTAAAAAAAAAATTTAACCGCAGATGCCCCTCCCTAATGTGATCCTGTGTACCAAATAACAGTCTTGTATCTTATTGCGGAGCTTAGTTATGGCAATTTATTTGTTTTTGATCAATGGCGTTTTGTGGGCGTGGCAGTGGTCCGATTCCGCCCATCTGCAATACCAACCGTCTCACGGTACCCAGAAACATGTCTACCAAGTTTCATAAAGATATCTCAATTTTTACTCACGTTACAGCTTGCACGGACGGACAGACGGGCAGACGGACGGACGGACAGACAGTCACCCGGATTTCAACTCGTCTCTTAATCCTGATCATTTATATATATATAAACCTATATCTAACTTGATTAGTTTTATGTGATACAAACAACCATTAGGTGAACAAAACTATTATACTCTGTAGCAACAGGTTGCGAGAGTATAAATATACGTGACGACAATCACACAGCTGTTGTTGTATGTCGAATCGGATTTCTCCCTAAAAGCAATAATGTCAGCGTCGAATGACCCGCCTGGCGCCAAATCGCCAAATGTGGTGTCTTAATTTCTCATTACCGATTTTACTGTGACAACGGTGGCGACGAAGATACCATTCTCACAAGCCCCCCCGAGACCAAAGACTTTAGCTCTTAGTCGGCATTTGTTTGGGGCGTGATACTTGTTGCTTAATTGTTAAATTTTGTGGTCAATGTGTTTGCGCCCATTTTTGGCTGTCATTGTGGCTGCTGCAAGATTCGATTGTTGATTTCGCGACCACGTCCTGGTTTTAGTTATCATCAATTAAAACCAGAAAAAAGTTAATTTCGGCTGCACCGAAGCCATAGTCATCGATCGGTTAGTTTGTATCGAAGATAAATATATGCTATAGTGACAAGATC